TCTATCTATCTATCTATCTATCTATCTATCTATCTATCTATCTATCTCTGCAGTGGGACTTCAGTCAGTCACAATCTTTTTCACAGTGGACACTGTTCCTGCTGTGAGATTATGATACAATAAAAACATAATCAAACAGTGCCACCTATTGATGTTTAAGTAATACTGCAAGGATATCCTGACACATGCATGATACTGCAAGGATACTTTTTTTTGGTCAGATAATGTCTCTTATTGCCTTGAGAGAACGGGGAAAAAGACCCTGTAAAATTACTGAGGCTAAGGCTTGAGCACACAATGGGCTTAATGCTAATAACATTAACAGTAAAACATCCTGATGTGAAGGGTTGTTGCTGATACACCATTAGGATTTTTGCTCTTTTTCAGCATTGATAATTAAGTTGATTAATACGATTAAGATTGTAGTATTAAGGGGATTAGGTTGATTAAGGAATTGACACAGCTGAAGTAATTAATTTTTAATGTCACAGGAAATAGGAAAAAAAAAATGCCTGTGACTCTATTTGACCTGAGGGGGGCAGCAACACGCCACCATTCCATCTGCGCGCTCTCAAAGACCACGAAGAAGATAAACCTCCATTTCATCATGGCTGCCGGCAGATTAGCGTGTTTGGGGTTGAATGGCCTTTATTCCACGATTTGCGTTCCCAAACAGGTAATGTAGATTTATATTTTGTACCTGCATTTTTATTGAAGTGCATTTGTACATACCCGACACAAAAGCTTTGCACGTCTGAGTGAGTGCAATGTGGTTAGCTTTCTCACGTTAGCTTGAAGCTAACTACTCGAGAATTCACCTTGAGCGTTGAAACAACAAATACAATTGTATCCTGGTATTTTATTTTATCTCTCTGACATCGACTAGGTTAAATTTTAACATATTTCTAGATTCTATTTTAAACGTAACAAAAGCCTTATTTTGTTTTGAAATGGTGACGGTCAAAGGGGGCTTTTCTTTCAAAATGTAAATATTTTTTACACTTCCAGATATGACCTGAGGTTACAACGCATTTACATAACCATACAGTCGCCATGTTTACAGTAACAGCTTATGGTGAACTTTTCATAATTGTAATCTAAGTATACTTCGACATGCTGTAACTTTTATTAAATTTTATTTAACTTTTATTAACTTCATCTTTATGCTTGACCAATATTGTGCGGAAGACAGCTAACCTGTGACAAACAAAATCATTTAGATTTTGGTCTTTCAGTTTTTAAACATGTTAAAATATACAACTTTCTAATGCAGTTGGTATTTATCATCTGTCTTTATGATGGCCATTTACAGTTTGGTTTAGTTTTGAACTCGCATGAGGTTTTATTTCTGTCCAACTGCTACAAATGATTCAGAAAATAAATCTCACATTTTGCATAAATTTCAAGTCCATAAATTTATTTTCACTTGAAAAATGTATGTTGGTAAAAACTCTTCTAAGAGTTTAAAAATTATTTATGCTTACTTATTTTACATTCCTGTTTATTTTTTATTGCTGGAAGACAAATATGTAGAAGGAAGTGCTGCAATTAATGGTTCTAGAGCAATGGACATTTTAATATAAAAAATATAGATACTTATTTGTTCATTAACATTTTTTTTTTCATGACCAGCACCCTTTAGCACTTTATTCCCATCTTCAAAATGGGGAGCAGTATTTCCAAAAAGTATTTTTGAACTTTGAACTTGCTTAAAATAGCAAACTGACAATTTTCTTGTCAGTTCTTTGCCACTGTAAAATGGGCTTGAACTTGATATGCTGCTCTCACACAACAAAGGAATTTATAGAAAAATATTGGTCTTTGAAGGCTTCACATAATAATATATAATCAAGGACTGGTCAATTACTTCTTGGTAGCCTGCTGACTTTGTTCTCACCTATAAAACAGTTAAATTTAAACTTAAGATACAAGCTTTCTGCAAAGCTCTAGTTACTTTAATGTTAACACAGCTGCACTAATCTCTTTAGATTTGCTTTGAATGTTTGATTGGACTGTTCATTCAGTATATAACATGGTTATTAGGCAGTAACTTCATGTTGATGTTGTGCAGGCACTGGGGAGCTGCATGGGAGCAGTGGAGCAAGTGAGAGGTTACTATGTGAACTGGAAGATGCTGAGGGATGTCAAGAGAAGACAGATAGCATTTGACTATGCAGATGAGAGGTTAAGGATTAATGCACTCAGGAAGAACACTATCCTTCCCAAAGAGCTTCAGGTAGAGTGCATTATTTTTATTTAAATGAAATATAATGGCAAATGAACTGTAAGAAAAATGGGAAATGCACTTTTTTATTGTGTTTAATTAATTTTCTTCCATGTCATCGAAACCACACCATAAGTCTGTAAATATTCCTTTGTTTTCCAGTTTTTTTTTCTATAACCACCATAGCCATTTTTATGTACACAGAAGTTACTTTTTAAAATTGTGCTTCTGTGATATAAGTTCATTTAAGTTGCAATCAAATGAGTCTTTTTATATCCTTGTAACATTTTGCAGGCGATAGCAGACGAAGAGATTGCAGCCCTACCCAGAGACAGTTGCCCTGTGAGGATTCGTAACAGGTGTGTGATGACCTCCCGACCTCGAGGAGTGAAGAAGAAATGGCGTTTGAGTCGTATTGTCTTCCGGCATCTAGCTGACCACAATCATCTGTCTGGGATCCTGCGGGCGCGGTGGTGACTGTGTCCTCGTGGAACACCTCCTGGCAGGATGTTGAACTGATCATAACCAGAAAGCCAAAATGTTGGCATGGCTTCTGGATATATTACATTTGCTATCTAGTTATTTGCTTCCGTTTTCTTGTGGCAAATTAAAAAAGAAAAAACATTAAATGTCAATAATAATGTTAACAAAAAGTCCAAATGTTCATTTGACTCGCTGTCCAGAACAATAGATGAATGAATATTGTTTTTTAAACTATGCAGACACCAGCATTGTCAATTCTTTTTTTTCTTATAGAACATTTTCAGCTCACAGATCAAAATAATTTTTGTTGTAGCCATTTAATACAACCAACCTTTATCATGGATTTGGTATTACAGTAGTTGGGTTGATTTACCTGTTGTGATTGTGTGTTTGACAACAGAACAACTTTTATTCTTGATAAAATGCAAGTGGTTAGAAAAGCAAATATGTTTAATGTCAGTAGAAACACCTGTACTAATTTAATCAAATCAACAAGAGCCAGTAAGTATAGTAGTGATTGATACTGTTTCATGGCAACACGGTGGCAGCAACTGGTAGAGCTGCTGCCTCTCGGCGAGCAGGTTACACTGGTTCAAATTCTTTTCCGGGGGCCTTTCTGGGTGGAGTTTGCATGTTTTCTCTGTGCCTGCGTGAGTTTTCTCCGTGTACACCAGTTTCCGCCCACAAACCAAAAACATGCATGTTAGGCTGATTGGTAACTAAATTGTCCCTAGGTGTGAGAGAGAGAGTGAATGGTTGTTTGTCTATGTGGCCCTGTGATGGACTGGAGACCTGTCATGGGTGTACCCGCCTCTTGGATAGTGATTGCTGGAAATGGGCACCAGCGACCCCTGTGACCCAAAATGGAGTAAGTGGGTAAAGATGATGGATGGATGGACTCCATGACCCAAAAAGGAAGAAGCGGGTAAAAGATAATGGATGGATATTGTTTCAGTGCACAACAGCTCATTAGCCACAACGTTTAAGGTTAACTCTTTCATCAAGCAGCTTTTCACTCCCGTGTCTTCTCATTCTATATGCAGCCATGTCAATTTGCTCATGTTGTCATGAAAAAAAGACTTTGTTTCAAATTCCTGTTCTACATCAAGCAAAATGCAACAAGATGCCCAATCCACGAAATTGAATTTCCAGGTCTCTCTTAAATGAGTCCCAAAGGCTCAATGGGATTAACCTGTATAAATAAAGGTTGAATGAATTCATGAATTAAACATTCCCTAGCACAGCATTAAAGCCAGGAAAGGTCAAACTAAACTGTTAAATTCTTGAGAGAAATATGATTTTAAAAGTATATTATTGTAATGCGTTTGCTAGATAAAATGTATGTAAATTTCAACGAATTTGCTCCACAAACATGCACCCTGTAGCTGTAGCTTGTTCACTAAACGTAAACGGCACAAAGCAGTCTTCCTTCCAGATGGTGGCGGTAGTGAGCAGGCTGCGTTTAGGTTCCAGCCACTAATGTCAGTGAAGTAGAAGACGCTTTTTTTTTTTTTTTACCTTTATTTGAACCATCAGTTTACAAACAAAACAAGGCAACAACATCAGCACAAAACATCAGTTTTCACAGGTTGAATTGCATGCACTCAAAGCAAAACAAACAAACAACAAAATAAACAAAGAATGAAAATGAAATAAACACCGAGGTTTAAGCCAAATCAAAGTTGTTAATCAAACTACAAAGTTGTTGGGCAGATTTACTTTTAACTAAATTTAAAGACTCACGAAAACAAATTAGGAAATTTTTCCAATGACTTAAATTTGGGTTAACTTTAAAAAATGCATTTATGAACAAAAAACTTTCCCAATAAAACTAAATTATTGATTAAAAATTCTGTTTTGTCAGGATGGCCGAGCGGTCCAAGGCGCCAGACTCTAGAAGACGCTGTAGATGGATAGGTTTTTGGCTTGGGACGAGGTGGAAGCAACGAAAGCATTCTGGCGTCTGTTTAAAACTTTTTTCTATTTTTGTCGGTGGTTGGCAATAGCTGGTTTGTGACTGGATCAAGATGTTAGGACAGGATGTAGATGAGGATGAGGATATGAATTCAGATGAATGGATTTCAGCATCTAACAGAAAGCAGCACGAGATAAATAAAACACCACCTAACAAGAGCAGTAAAAGGGAATGGGGAGAAATAAGTTCAGATGAGGGAGAGAGGGGTGCTCGCAGAAAGATTGTGAAGGAGGAGATTAAAGTGATAATAAAATTTAGAAAGGAAGATGAACATATTTATATTAGTCCGATAGCAATATCCAAAGAACTGAAGAAAAAGATAGGTGATGTGGAAATGGCCAAGACTTTGAGGGATGGTAATTTACTGATAATATGCAAAACAGAAGAACAAAAAAATAAAGTTATGCAAATTAACAATGTGTGTAAAAAAAGTTGTGTTTGAAAAAAGGATTCTTGAAGAAAATAGGATCACACGAGGGGTGATAACTGGGATTCCTGTAGATGAAGATTTGGAAAAGCTAAAACGAAGCATTCATGGAGGGGAAATAAATACAATAAAACGACTGATGAGAAATAAAAATGGTCCAAGAATAGAAAGCATGTCAGTGCTTCTAGAGTTTAAGGGATTGGAACTACCGGATAAGGTCAAGATTGGCTATTTGAGTTTCCCAGTTAGGGCCTATATTCCCCCACCACTGCGTTGCTTCAAATGTCAAAGATACGGGCACATTGCTGCAGTTTGAAAAGGAAAACAGAGGTGTCCCTAATGTGGTGGTGACCATAAGTTTGAAGAATGTGAAGATGATGTGCAAGAAAAGTGTTGCAACTGTGGTGGTCAACCCAGAGTGACATCTAGGGAATGTGAAGTCAGGAAAAGGGCGGTGGAAATCCAACAGATTAAAACAGTTACTAATGTAAGCTATGCAGAGGCAGTAAAGACGGTGCAAAGACAGAATGAAGATTTGAGAACTCCCCATAAACCAGCATCGGAGATGAGTCATAATGAAGGCAGTGATTCAAGACTGATAGTGGACAATCTGATTTTGTTCATCGCTTATGTGATCAATTGCACTGATCAGGTCAAACAAAAAACAGAAAAAATAAAAATAATTGTAAGAGGAGCAGAGAAATTCTTGGGAATGAAAGATCTTTCATGGGAAAAAGTTACTAAAAAACTGGAGGCAGATGGGAAGTCAGGTGAACCAAATGATAAGACAAACTGATTATTTTACAATGGAATGCAAGAAGTCTTATAGCAAATGGACAGGAATTCAAAGGATTTGTTAAAGAGCTTAAAGAGAAACCAGATATTATTTGTGTTGTGTTCAGGAAACATGGCTGAAACGCACACTGGATTTTGTTATAAAAGGTTATGTTAGCTTACAGAGAGACAGGGAAGGGGGAAATGGAGGGGGATGTATAACATTGATTAAAGAAGGAATACAATACAGATTAATACAGATAGGTATTGATTTGAAATATATAGTAGCTGAAATATGGACTGAAGATGGGAAAATGAAAATAGTAAATTTTTACAGCCCATGCAAAAAGCTTTATGTGGAATCATTAAACATGATTAATTCAGACTTGGATGAAAAGGTTATTTGTTGCGGGGATTTTAATGCACATAATACACTATGGGGTAATTATGATGATGAAAATGGAAGGGTGATTGAAGAAATTATGGACAATAAAAATTTAGTATGTCTTAACGATGGACATGGAACAAGACTGAATATTAGAAATGGTTCAGAATCAGCTATAGATCTCACCATAGTTTCTGACACATTAGCAGCTAAATGTACATGGTAGATTATTTCAGACACAACAGTAGGAAGTGATCATTATCCAATAGTCACAACAATAAATTTTACATTGAGAAACTGTGAAATAGTAGGAATACAAAGATGGCTATTTAATAAAGCTAAATGGGATATATTTAAACATATTAGTGATCAAAAAATGAGTAAAATTAATGTTAATCAAAATATTGACAATTGAAATAGTTGCATTTGTGAAGCAGTCCTAGAGGCAGCAAATCAAACTATTCCAAGATCGAGTGGTGGAAATAGGAAAAAGATTGTACCATGGTGGACACAAGAATGTGACAAAGTCATTAAATCTCGAAATAAAGCGTTCAAATTACTAAAAAGAAATCACAACTTCCAAAATGTAATTGAATATAACAAACTGCAGGCTGAAGTACTGAGGACAATTAAAAGTGCAAGGAAAGAGTTCTGGACATCCTTTTGTAATTCGGTTGGAAGAGAAACTGATATTAGTAAAGTTTGGGGAATGATTAGGCAAATGAATGGGATTAAAAAACAATATGGATTACCAGTTTTACATGAAAGTGAGAGAACAGCAATTTCAGACCAGGAAAAAGCAGAAATGTTAGGAACAAACTTTAGCAAGATTCATAGTTCAGAAAACATTACTAAAGAAAGGCAGCGAAGGAGACAAATGACTTTAATTGAAAATGAACACTTATTAACCCAACATGATGAAACTTCAGATTTACTAAATGTTGCATTTTCAAAGTCAGAACTGAATCGAGCAATAAATAAATTCAGGGAATCCGCTCCAGGCAAGGATCAGATCCGTTATTCATTGATATATCATCTTAATGATTCATCCAAAAACATACTGCTTGAACTCTATAACAAAGTATGGGAGAAAGGGGAAATACCACAAAGTTGGAAGGAAGCCATAATAATCCCAATATGCAAACCAGGGAAAGATTGTACTAACCCAGGTAGTTACAGACCCATTTCATTAACATCCAACATCTGCAAAATCATGGAGAAAATTATAAATAATAGACTGACATATCATATAGAGATGAAAGGTTACTTAGCTGGACACCAAAGTGGTTTTAGGAAAGGAAGGAATACAATGGATCCATCTTTGTGTTTAGAACATGAAATAAGGAGGGCTCAAGTAAATAAAGAAAGTGTTGCAGCTGTCTTTTTTGACATTGAAAAGGCATATGACATGATGTGGAAGGAGGGGTTGTTAATTAAGCTGTGTACATTGGGTATTTCAGGTCGTATGTTTAGATGGATCAAGGATTTTTTGTTGGGCAGAACTATCCAAGTTAAAGTAGGAAAGAACTATTCTCAAAAATATTTTGCTGAGAATGGGACACCTCAAGGAAGTATAGTGAGTCCTCTACTATTTTCGATAATGATCAATGATATGTTTTATGAAATTGGAAATGAGATGGGAGTTTCTCTTTTTGCGGATGATGGAGCAATTTGGAAAAGAAGAAAGAACTTGGAATTTATTGTTAAAAAAATGCAGGAGGCTATTACAAAGGTAGAAGAATGGTCATATAAATAGGGAGTAAAATTTTCAACTGATAAAACGAAAGTAATGTTTTTCACAAGAAAAAGAAATGAATGCAAATTAAAACTCAAACTCTATAACCAGGAATTAGAGAAAGTAAAATATGTACAATTTTTGGGAATATGGTTAGATGAAAAACTAACAGGGCAGCACGGTGGCGCAACTGGTAGAGCTGCTGCCTCTCAGCGAGCAGGTCCTTGGTTCAAACCCCGGTCCGGGGGCCTTTCTGGGTGGAGTTTGCATGTTCTCTCCGTGCATGCGTGGGTTTTCTCCGGGTACTCCGGTTTCCTCCCACAGACCTAAAACATGCATGTTAGGCTGATTGGTAACTCTAAATTGTCCCTAGGTGTGAGTGAGAGAGTGAATGTTTGTTTGTCTCGTTTGTCTCTATGTGGCCCTGTGATGGACTTGCGACCCGTCCAGGGTGTACCCCGCCCCTCGCACAGTGATTGCTGGACATGGGCACCAGCAACCCCCGCAACCCAAAATGGAATAAACGGGTAAAGATAATGGATGGATGGATGGAAAAACTAACATGGAAGATACACATTCAAAACATTCTAGATAAATGTAAGAACGTTCCAAATATAATGAGATGCTTAACAGGAAGTGGATGGGGTGCAGACAGAATTGCATTAAAAGATATTTATACTGGATTGATAAGGTCAATATTAGATTATGGATGTGTGGTATTTGGATCAGCAGCAGATTCGGTTCTTAAAAACCTTGATCGCATTCAACATCAAGCATTAAGACTTTGTATAGGAGCTGTTAGAACAACTTCAGTGGCAGCTTTACAGGTAGAAATGGAGGAAATGCCATTAGAGTTAAGAATATCCCAGTTATCAGTAACCTACTGGGCAAGTTTGCAGGGCCATAATCACTTTCATCCAACACATAACACCCTAAAACCCTGCTGGGAGAAGGAGAGGAAAAAAATAAAAAGCTTTGGATGGTCAGTAGAACAGAAAGCTGCAGAACTAGGAGTGGCTCAACTTGTTATTAGTCCAACTGTCTCATTACCTGTAATACATCCATGGATTCTCCCTGAAGTTAAAACTGACTTTTCAATACTTGAAAAGAAGAAAGATAAGAAATACAATTTAAATCACCATAGTATACAAAGTTATATTAATAGCTATTATGATTACGTTCAAATCTACACAGATGCATCCAAGGATTCACATGATAAGACGGGAATAGCATTTGTTATTCCAGAATTTTATGTCTCAACTAATGAAAGGATTAACGATAGACTCTCGGTGTATACAGGGGAACTGCTTGCAATACTTTTAGCAGTACAATGGATAGAGGACATTAGACCACTGAAAACAATAATATGTTCAGATTCAAGCTCATCATTGCAAAGTTTAAACAACAGTAACTCAGAAAGTAGACCAGATATTCTTCTAGAAATTCAGCAGACACTATACAGAATACAAAAAATGGGACTCATAGTAGAATTTTTGTGGATACCGGCACATATCAGAATAAATGGAAATGAGATGGCAGATAAAGCAGCAAAAGAAGCCACAAAACATGTTACTATCGATATGGAAATTAATTTCAGTAGATTAGAAACTAAGAACATCATCAAACAAAAATTGAAGGAAAAATGGCAGAAACAATGGGAAGAAGAACGAAAAGGAAGATGGTTTTATAAAATACAAAGGAAGGTAAGAGAAATTAGAAGTGGGAGGAAAAACAGGAGAGAAGATATAATAATATCAAGACTCAGAACTGGACACACTGGGTTGAACAGCACACTGTTTAAAATGGGAGAAAAATAATACAGGAAATTGTGGCTTTTGTGGCCAGGAAGAAACAGTAGAGCACGTTATGTTAAACTGTAATAAATATGATAAGGAACGATATATTCTTACCCGAAATCTTGAAGAGATTCAAACAAGATACAAATTATCAGAAGTGTTGAGGGAAGACAAATGTTATCCGTTGACGTTGCAGTTTCTTCGAAATACTGGTTTATTTGGAAGGATTTAATTAACAATTAAAGTATTTTCTCGGATTTGTCTTTTTTATTTATTTATTTTTTTTATTTATATATTTATTTCCCCCCCCCCCCCCCCAGTATTATTATTAGTCTAGATATTAGAATCCTGATCCACACTCCTTACCAGTTGGTGGCGGTAATGCACCATTAAGTTGTTTGCCAACCGCCAAAAAACACCACAAGAAGAAGAAGAAGACGCTGTAGATTCATTATGCTGTTGCTGACACATCTGTGTGACTAGATAGCACGCCTCTGAAGACCAACGTAACGTATAAAAAAATGGATCTAAGCGAGCAGGTGAGCATTTTACCCATCCAGAATACACTGAGAAAAACACGGCTTTGTGTGATTCTGTCAGACAGCTGAATTCACTGGATGTTAGTCGTAGCAGGGCAGTGTTGCTGTATGCTAGGTTAATGCTAGTTTTAAGCTTTTTTTTTTTTTCGTTTTACTTTGAAGTCATTTTGTTTTGTTAAAACTAAAACGCACATTTACTGAATGTAATTTACTGCTTAATGACGGTTGACTACGCGCCAGAAGCTTGGTTGCTAACGGAGTTTAAGGTGAATAGTTTGCCAGAACATTCCAGTAACTTCATGCTAACAAGCTTAGCTACAGCTGTGGCATGTAGCTCGTTACTAAGCAACAACATGAAATTAGGGCTGTTTTAGTCCATATTCAAGATGTCTAACAAATTATTTAGCTCATTAGCTGCATTGTTCATCATCATGTGATGTTTTAGAGAATAATCGATGTCGTTTCAATCTACTTTTCGCTGCTACTGTAATTATTGATTCTACAATTCTTAACTCACCGTTATCTAATGAAAAAACATGCAAATTTGTTTAGTCTTTTCTGCTTATTGCTCTTTTATTTTAGCTACTTGAAATGTTGTAAGTACATAGTTCTCATACAAATAAATTGGCTTCTTCCAAGTACTAGCAGCATTGAGTGTTTTGCAGATTAAATCAAAATACCATTCACCAGTACTTGAAACGCACAAACCCAGAACTGTCCCATAAATATCAAAGTTCATGCTCATTCATCCAGGTACAAAATCCAATGATGGTCAATCCCATAAATAGCCCTCATTGATGTGTTTAGAGCCAGCCTCCTGTTGAATTCCCAGAAACAGGCTTTTAACACATGCAAAAATGGACCATCCGTCCAAAACAATCAATCATCATGCGTAACAAACAAATGTTTTAGGCCAGATGGACAACTTGCTACTCACAAAAGCAGCCTGAGGAACACCAAGGCCAAAATGGTGAGGAAAAAGGTCTGTAAGCTTCCAGGTAGATAAATCACAAAAAATATAAAATCATGCCATCTGGACAAGTTCTTTTTTTTTTTTTTTAAGGGAGAAACGTTTCGTCTTTCATCCGAAAAATATGACTTTCTGTTTAATTATTTTCTTACGCAAATGTTGACCAGACATTTTGAAGTGTGTGCGTAAGTAGGAATACCGATAAGTAATTTGTGTAGATGATAATAATGTCCCACAAATATTGTTTACATTTTAATAGAAATTTCTGCCATTTAAAATGAACGTTCTTTAATTAATTAATAAATTAAGTAGGTGAAATAGGTTAACAAAAACGCACTACGAGAAACATCAGAATTGTTAACGTCATGTCCACATTTTGTTAAGGTTTATAAGTAAATTCGACTACGTCTTATATCTTACCCTTATGAGTAGGGGTGCACCGATTGCAGTTTTCTGGCCGATCACCGATTTCTAAAATGACCTGCCGATTCCGATTTTGGCCGATACCGATTTTGTTTTATAAGCGACACTGTCAGGTGTTATAAGGTCACAATACACCTTCAATTTTCCAATATTATTTTATTGAAAAACATATCCTTGAACAATATCCTAGAAACAATACAAACTTGTTTTAACTGGCCATGAGGTAGTGCTCTGAAATATAAATGAAGTTCAGACAATTGTTAAACTAAAAAAAATCTGTTTCTCATGCAAGTATTGGCTGATTTCTCAAAATTAAGGGAATTGGGGCACCCCTACTTATGAGGTGTCAAGTTATATGATAACTGTTTAAAATTAACATTTGTGCTCCCAACATAGCATCAAGTGAACAAGTGTTACACTATAATATATACTGAAACTGACACACTGCTGCTATTCAATTTTTCCAACACAGATTAGTCAGCTAGAAGCAGACTTGCAGGAGCTGGATTCCCTCTTGGAGACAGCAGAGAGGAAAAGGGTGCAGGAAGTGTTAAAGCAGGAGCAAAAGAAGGTGGAAAAAGAACTCGCGACTAAACGACAGCAGTGGGAGCAACAAGCGAAGAGAGATGCAGAGCCTTCTGCAGCATCCAAAGCATCTTACACAGTAAAGATCACCAGCTACGGTAAGGAGCTGTTGTTTACAGTGACTTGTGGAAGTGTAACAGTTAAGTGTTTGCCAGAGCTGAAAAACTTTTTTTTTTTGCAAATTGTTCATACTCGTGTATCTTTGCAGCTTGGGACCAGTCAGACAAATTTGTCAAAATTTACCTGAATTTGAAAAATGTGCAGAAAATTCCATCAGAAAATGTGGAAGTGAGCTTTTCAGAAAGGTAACATGACCTACAAATAAAATTTGATGTGTTCATTTTTGGTATCAAGTGTACAATTAAATATACTTCCCTATCTTTACTGTAGATCATTTTCAGTTTTAGTGAAGGACCTAGATGGCAAAAACCATCAGATGACTGTTCTCAACCTGCTGCATCCAATCAATGAAACCGACAGCTTCAAAAAGGTAAATTAAATATTTTGTTGTTGTTTTGGCATATTAATGGGTTTGATATCCAGTAAATTCTCTGGTTTAACATATGATGATTTTACATCAGTTCATCGACAAGCTTTGAATCAAAAATCTCTGTTTTTGTAAGTAAATGAATTAACAACAGCCTTCAATCAATGTTTTTAATGATTTGATATTGTGTTGCTAGAATTGTAGATTTAGGATAAATATAATGTTTATTTCCTAATCTTAACTCTCAAAGAAAAGCATCAGTCATTTATGTAACGATCTATGTGATGCATATCCACCCCGTTAAAATATTTTGGACTATTCTGGTGTAAAGAATGAGCACGTATTTTACTTTAGGAAGGTTTATTTTGTCCAGCTGACTATTTCTCACTGCCCCTTTTTGGATAGGTAACACCAGCTTAATATTTTTGTTTTGGTTTTCAGGAACTAAATAACTAAAATCATTTTACTCCAGATGCACCAATGATTTTTGTAATCTGTGATGTTGAGAGTTTTATGGCACATTTTCTAGTTTATTTCTCCTCAGCTAATCTCTGAAGCTACTCTTCTACTAGTTTTCTGCAGTCTTTCTTACCTACTTGTATTTATTAAGTGCCTTTATATGTCCTATTATTGCTCAGAAAAAAACTAAGGCTTTTTTTTTTTTTTTATCTCACTTCAGCCTTAAATTAATGCATAACAACATGGACTGAATTGAAGGGAAAAAGTCAGTTACACACCTGGCTACCTATTATTATTATTATTAACACCACCGATTATTGCTATTTTTTTAAGCATATGTGCATTCATTCATTCATTCATTCATTCATTTATTTATTTATTTGTTTGCATTAGCCAATATTTTTAGTCTATTTTTGTTCCAGATAAAAACTGACATGGTGCTGGTCATGTGCAAAAAGCAAGCAACAAAGAAGTGGGAGTGCCTTACCTCGGTGGACAAACAGTCTAAAGAGAAAGAGTAAGTTCAACATTTTCATTAGACATGATCATTCACTTATGGCCAACACTGAGCCAACAGCATGTCTTATATGTGCACATGTGCATATTCAAGACAAAACTGATTAGACAGCCCAGAAAAGCATCTGCATACCTCCTATAACATATATCGTCTTCATTTGTCAACAGTAAACCCAGTATGGGTGAGAATGCAGACCCCAGCGAAGGCCTCATGAGCATGCTGAAGAAGATTTATGAAGATGGAGATGATGACATGAAGAGAACAATCAACAAAGCCTGGTCAGAGTCCCAAGAGAAGAAGATAAGAGGGGAAGAAATGAACTTTTAAATGTTGATTTATCCACATCAGGACCAAACTAGCTCAGTGGGAGCTCCAGAAATTGTGACAAAAATATTAAAAACTCAAGCTCATATATAATATGTGAAGGATAACGTGTAAGGCGTGGATGAACTGATTTCGACCTTGCTGTAAAACCAGGCTGATGCCCTTTTAGTTATGGGCTGCCATGCGTAGATGTCTTCATACATAAAAAGTAATGTCCAGCAGATGGCAGCGTTATCACAGTGATTCGCTGTTGCTGGTTTAAAATTCCAACATGGTCAGCTGTCTAGCTGTTTTCCATCCTGGGGTGGTTTGGATTTTAATGGTTTTCAAGTTCTTCTGCTACCTTTTAAGTTTTTACACCTTGAAAAAAAAAAAAAAAACTGTTGCCTTTTTTATTTGGTAATTCCAATAACAGATTAAATATTGGCTGCAAAGATGGTTGTATTCCCATCTTAATGTAATAATGTACATTTCTTCATGCATCTTCAGTTGTTAAAGATTTGATTTCATCTTGTTGCAAAGCAAAATGACAAACCTGTGTCATTCCAGTGTTGATGTTCTTACAGTTGTTCTCTGTAACCTCTATGTGTGTCAGCACTGTTTTGCGTAATCATTTCCTCACTGTGGAAGATGCATCTCTGTGGATGTGGTCTTCATTTGCATTTATAAAGTTGTGAACCTCCAACATGTTACAGTTTAAATATGTTCTGTTTACGTCTTTATTTCACATTTCTTTATGCTATTATGCGGACCTTTATCAGTAAATTTTAGGTTGTTTTTTTAAGTAAGCCCAAATATAATTTTAAAGTTTTTACACTTTTTTTTTTTTGCTTATAAAGTGTAAGCTGAAACCATTCAGTAAAGACGTTTTCAAAATGTTAAAGCAGCCTTAAGCTTGCATGCACGTTCTGTCCACCTGTGTGCACTAGTTTACGTCACGCGGGGGAAATCTAACCGGGAGGATTTACTGAAGAGGTTTAGGTTCTTCTGTGTGGTGTGGCTGCTCTAGCCCTATAGGTGAAATACCAATACTTTCCCACAAATTCAAAAGTGGTATTTGTAAAAATCAGCATCTAAGGAGGTCCTGCTTCCAGTGGTGGATTTAGCATTATTTAACAAAATGTACCAGTATGAACACTACACCCTGAGCCACACCAGAGGTCCCCAACCCTCGTCCTCGTGGCTCACTGTCCTGCACGTTTTAGCTGTTTTCCTGTTTAAACGCATCTGATTTAAATAAATGAATTACCTCAGGATGTCATGAAGTTTAACAGAATGACTCACTTCCGTCAGGTGTGTTGAAGCAGGGAAACATCTAAAATATGCAGGACTGGCGGCCATGAGGACCAGTGGACCTCTGAGCTACACCACTGAGGGGGTTTGACTTATTTATTTTTTCTGAGATGTTTCATTCATATATGCTCCAGACTGAGATTGTGATGGAGCAAAATAATAATCTAGATTTCCGCCAGTACGCCCCGCCCCCACCCGGCTCCGTGACGTCACGCCCTCCTATAAATCCGGGCAGCTCTGAGCGGTCAGACACGTTCAGATGGAGTCAGACAGCGCACAGGGACAGTAACAGAGCAGCAGACTGCTTAAGGAAAAGGATAAGCAGCGACAACAGGAGGGGGCGGACATATTTATTTGCACACGGACAGTTTTTTTACGCGTTGGATGGATTCCGGTTGTTTTTCCGCGGCGCAGCGTCTTTCGTGCCACAACAACATGGTGAGCGTGGATTTATTCAAGCCTGTTCCGGAGCGTGGACTCCAGCAGCTGCAGTCCTCAGCTGCTCCGGCCAAAACCAGCAGGAATAAAGGCGAACAAGCCAAACCAGAGCTGGCTCAGGTGGTGACGGACCCCAAAACTGGAAGATCCTACAGCAAAGGGAAGCTTCTGGGAAAGGTAACCTCTTTATTCGACACGATTCTGCTTTGATGTAGTTCATGTATCAACAGGGAGTGGTGAAAAGAAAACCCCCGTGGCGGATGTGACAAATCTCCCCTCCACCCGTGCGCGTTTTTGATGAATGAATCAGGCGCAAGGTGTGCCCAGCTCCACATGTTGGTTTCTCTGAAACCTCAGCACTCCTTTAATCCTCCCATTACAAAAATAATATAAAAAGGCTCTTTTCCCCTTCTGACCAGTCTGCACTGATTTAAACCCCTAAATGAATGACGTGCCAACATGTTGCTACGTGGGGGTTTCTTCATCTTCTTCATTTATTTTGCGCCTCCTCTTCTGCCGCAGAGCTGGAAACGTCTCCGTCACTTTCACGGTTAATGAATGCAGCAGTGCGGTCTGCTCCATCCTTCAACCCCCCCCCCCCCCTCAATAATAAATGTTTGCATCAAAATCCGAAAGAAAATTAAATAAGAAATAAAATCAAAAAAGCAGTCTGCTGCGTCACTAAAAAAAACAAAAACGTTTTTAATCGAATATTCAACGATGCCAACATGTTTTGCCGTTTCTGTCCTCGCACAGCTTTCCAACATTAACTTAATTATTGATTATTAAATCCTTCTGACTGCTTACACTCGAGCTGTATTGATCTTCCAGTGAAAGATTTACCCTTTTCAAGCATGTTATTCATGACCATCGCATGCTCTCAACCTGCTGCATTTTAATTTAATTTTTTTCTTCTATTCTACCTCCAAAGGGTGGCTTTGCTAGATGCTATGAGATGACAGACCTTTCCAACAACAAAATGTTTGCTGTGAAGGTGATTCCACAGAGCAGGGTCTCCAAACCACACCAGAGGGAAAAGGTATGCGTTCAAAGACTCTCTCTTGCATCACTTAAAAAAATACAAATAAACTATTATTCATAATCGGTTGCCACATGTTGACAGATTACAAATGAGATCGAGCTGCACAGAACGCTGTCGCACAAGCACGTGGTGAAATTCTCCCATTATTTCGAAGACCAGGAAAACGTCTACATATTCCTGGAGCTCTGCAGTCGAAAGGTGAGTCTCGGAAATCTCCAGAACGTTGGCGCTGCCACACACGGTGGCACTGTGTGTGTGTGTGTGTGTGTGTGTGTGTGTGTGTGTGTCTGTGTCGAGTTAAGTCCCGCTGTTGCGTTCAGGGTTGACACTTTTTTTCTTCGTCCTGTCCCTGCAGTCCCTGGCACACATCTGGAAGGCGAGACACACGCTGACAGAGCCCGAAGTGCGATATTATCTTAAACAGATCATTTCCGGTCTCAAGTACCTCCACAGCAAGGGGATCCTGCATCGAGATCTCAAACTGGGTAAGCAGGCATCGGGGGGGGTGACTGTAACGATGCAGGACACGGAAGCATCCCAGGAATTCGATGTGACTTTAGTCGTGCACATGTCATCCGTGGAATGCTGACTCAACAAAAGCATCTTGTCTCTTTCAGGGAACTTCTTTGTCAATGAGAACATGGAGCTGCGTCTGGGAGACTTCGGCCTCGCTGCCAAGTTGGAGACCGTCGAACAGAGAAAAAAGTTAGTATTCTTGGAAAATGGAGAATAGTGTAGTATAGAGGCAGGGCAGCTGACTTGGGATCAGAAAGTCATGGTTCAACTCCCAGACATTCCCACATGTTGTGTCTCTGAGCAAGACACCCTATCCCTAATTGCTCCCTGGGCATCCTAAATAGCTGCCCACTGCTCCACCCGTGTATCCCAGGTGTGATGGGTTAAATGCAGAGAACCAATGTGATCGTTGTATGGGAACATACAGTGATGACGCATAGCACTTGTACATAAACTTATTATACTGCCACCACGACTAATTTTCAGAGAACATGATGCTAAACCTTACTTCAGACCCAGTTTCTAAGCACTTTGTTCCTCCTCCAGTAAGTACCTACTAAACCGGTTTCGTAGTGGCAGTTGACTGTAGCATTTAGATCAGAGTTTCAATACTCGTTTGACTTTTTCCTGTGGAAGACCAGAGGCGGGGGGTGTAATGCTTCAACCACGTTTACTGTGCCTTTTTGCAAAACCGAGGCCGTTCAGCATTCTTTGAGGTATTGAGCTGAGCCTTTTGTTTTCTCAGAACAATCTGTGGAACTCCAAACTACCTGGCCCCGGAGGTGCTGAACCGGCAGGGCCACGGCACAGAGTCTGACGTCTGGTCCCTCGGATGTGTCATGTGAGTTTTAAGTTTATAGCTTCACTCAGCTGTTTTCTGTATCGTGTTTATTATTTTTTTTGTCTTTTTAGCTCGATTTTATTTTTATAGGTTGACGATGGGTTTTCTTGGTTTCTTCTTCTTAGGTACACGCTGATGTGTGGCAACCCTCCATTTGAGACTCTCGACTTGAAAGAGACGTACAAATGCATAAAGGAAGTTCGGTACAACCTGCCCTCCACAATCTCCCCTTCTGCACAGAGACTCATCTCAGGCATCTTACAAAAGAATCCCAGCGACAGACTCACTCTGGATCAAATTCTCAACCACGAGTTCATCAAAGTACGTTAAAGCTGCCACGAGCTTTACTTTAATGAAATGTCAGATTTTTAGAGCTTTTTTTTCTTTTGACTACGCGCTTCTACGTTTCCTCACGGTCTCTTTGCTTTCTTCTGATTTCAGGGTTTCACTCCTGACAAACTTCCTCCCAGCAGCTGTGTGACGGTGCCAGAGCTCCATCCTCCAAGCCCTGCCAAGAAATTCTTCACTAAAGTCGCCAAGAGCCTCCTTGGCAAGAAGAAGGCTAAAGGTATGCCGCAGCGGTGCTTGTATAACAAAAAATAAATTAAAAAAAAGTCTGAAACTAATAATAAACCCACTTAATTGCATTTATCAAGCATCTGAAAGCACCTACTGTTCGTTTTTTTGTTTTTATTTTTTGCTTTTTTTTTTTTTTACTAGTAGCAACCACAATGTTTGACTTTTTCTGTTTCTGTGCAGCGGAAAAAATACCAAATGAAGAAAAAGAAGACAAAGATATTTCCAAGCTGGTTTCGGGCATTGTCAAGTGTTCCATCAACCGGCAGATAAGCTACAAAACTGTGGGAGCCAATGAGGTAAATCTTTTATTTTAATTTTTTTTTTTTTAATTTATTTATTTTTATTTTACATGCAAGTTTCTAATTTTAATTTAAAAAGCTCTCTGAATATATACCTTTTGAAACAAATGATGGGTTTTACAATTTGTTGTTCTAGCTTGGATACAAAATTATAGCTGAAATGGTTTTGTAAGTTTGAGAATTATTTTTAAGATTCGAGGAAAGTCTTAAAAATTGTTTTCCTCTACCATACACAATGCACCAAAAAAAAAAAAAAAAAAAAATTTGTAATCTTCATTGGAACAGAAACTAAATGCCACAGCAGCAGGATGCACAGTTGGCCTAATCACACTGGTCTGGTTTCTATTTGTAGAGGCTGATAAGAGCTACGTTTTGTTTTTGCAGTGAACGTCTCTTTGTCGGTGTAGGGAGTCGTGTCTCAGAACCTCGACTGTCTTAGCTGGAAACTAATTTTTCCCTAGTTTTTAAATGACCCAAAGTAGCTTTTTAAAAAATATTTAGTTGAAAACAAACTGTGTGACATCTCTTGGAAATATTTTGGATTGTGAACAAGCAGCTTTGTGGTGTTTTCATGCAAGAAACTAAGCCCAACAGAGCTGCGTGTGGGAGTTTCAGCTTGCGTTTTTGCAGGAATTTGTGCAACATTTAAATCTTAAAGGCGCCAACTGAAGATGTGGCAGAAGCCGCTCAACCTTAGCAAGGGTGCATGCTTTCATGGAGCTACTTGTGCAATGACCCGAGCAGTTTTTTATACTTTAAATGCCCCAGATTGTTGGCATGGATTGTTGTGCATTGTTTGGTTAATACATTCTGACTGTATTTTAAAGCTACCTTGTGTTTCTGCTCAGGCGCCCTCTCCCTCTGGTCAGCTGGTCAGCACTGTGCCTCTGGAGCAAACCCCAGCTGAGGAGGAATCCAGAAAGTCCATCTCCCGCTCCTTCAAGGGCACCATGGCAAGCAGCAGTGAACGTGGGTTTCACTTCACCTCATGAAACATTAAAAAAAATAAAAATCCCACTTTAGTTTAATTGTTGTTTTCCCATTTCTCCCCTACAGCATGTGAAGATGCCCTGACTCCCGCAGCTGTTGCAGAAGCTGCCATGAAAGTTCTCAAAAATTGCCTGGCCACCATGCCTACAGGTGAGCTTGAAGCACTTTGACATGAACGTTTTACCTGCTGAACGTCCACCTCATACCAGGGTATCGCCATACAGCCTCCGTGTTATCACTTGGATCATACAGCAGCAACATAAAGCAGCTCTTCTTTATAGAGAGCATGCTGTTGGATGCAAAATCACTCGTGTAAAGAGGTGTTCTTCAGGATCCATTTGTCCTTGATACCTGCTGACTCATGCAGCTCTGAACACATTTGAAGCTTTGCGTTTGTACTCTTCCCCCCCCCCCCCCCCCCCCCAATTAAATATGCTGACTCATTTTAGACTCGACAAACCAATTTATCAGGCAGTGTTTTCCTGCTTATTTAGGGCTGGTCTTATTTTAATTAACTGGGTTTTTTTTTTTTTTGTTTTTTTTTTGTTTTTGTTTCTCTTCCTCTTCAGCCAATAGAAACCCCCCCAGCTTGTCCAGGCCTCAGTCTTTTCTGTGGGTCACCAAATGGGTCGACTACTCCAACAAATACGGTTTTGGCTACCAGCTGTCGAACAGGAGCATCGGCGTGCTCTTCAACGAGGGAACGCATCTCAGTCTTTGTGATCAACGCAAGTGAGTTCTTCAAGAGCCGTTTATAATCGGTCGCTGTTGCGCAACTGCCCAGGAAATGGACTTGTTTATTACTTTAATAAAGCTTTTACATACACCATACTATATCATACCTGCTTTATTTATAGAGCACTTTAAACACTCGTAGGACAAAAGTGCTGTACACATAATAAAACGATTGTACAATGATCAATAAAAGATTATTTAAAATAATTAAGTCAACATCACAGATGGTGTCAAAGGCCAGGAAGAAGAGATGAAAATTAAGAGATGGGGGAAGAGGCCTTTCTGATGTCAAAGGGAAGATTGTTCCATAGTGTAGGACGGGGTTATTCAACTGGTGGCCTGCGGGCCAAATCAGGCCCACAGATGAAATCATTCGGCCCACCAGTGGGTTCATTTTTAAATTAAACTAGATTTTAAACCATAAAACAAACTTTCTAAATGACTAACTGCTGGATGTCTGCACCCCCCCCCCCCCGGAGCCGTTTAGTTGAATAGCATGGATTAGGAGCTGCCACAGCAAAAACACTCTGAGCTGACGCTTTGTCTTCAGCACACTCTCAGGAGCAGCTGATCAGCTGCCCTGAGGGATCTCAGGTCAGCTGTGTAGGGATGTTGCAACTCGTACAGATAGGGTGGGGCAAGTCCATGAAGAGCTTTAAAAGCAAATAAAATAAATTTTAAATGAATCCTAAAATGTAAATATTACATGGTGTATATTATGACTATAATTTTTATAAATTTTATTTTTATTTTCCCCAAACAGGACAGTTCACTACTGCTTGACGAACAACAAACACTTTACTTTCCCAACTCACTCGCTCCCTGAGCAGCTTCGAAGCCAGAAACAAATAGTGGAACTCATGGCCAACTACATGGAGCAGAACCTGATGGAGGTATGAGAAATGTGTCAGGAGCTTATTATTCAAATGTACCTTGGTTTTCTTATCGGTGCAAATTAAATTTTTTTTAAATATTTGCATTGAATAACTTTTTTTTTTATTTTTTTATCTTTGTTCTCCTCAGGGTGCAGATCTGCACTGTGAGGAGCAGTTCTCCGGCTCTCCTCCTCTGCTCCTTCAGTGGGTGAAGACTGACCATGCTCTTGTCATGCTCTTTAACACCGGAACTCTACAGGTGCAAATAAACTCTTTAAACGATGCAGTTTAAACCAAAAAATCTGCCACTTTTTGGCCCAAGTTCCCTAAACGTTGTGTTTGCGGCTCCTTTCTTTAGGTGAACTTCTACACGGACCACACAAAGATCATCCTGTGCAAGTCGTCGGACGATTCCTACCTGCTCACGTACATAACTCGTGAACGCATCTCCTACACGTACCTCCTCAGCATGCTGACTGAGACGGGCTGCACCTCGGAGCTACGTCATCGACTCAAATATGCGGTCCAACTGCTCCAACACCACACTGATGCCTGAAAGGACTGTTTGGCACCACCTCCTCGGGCTGAGTGGCTTCAGAAGCAGGACGGACAAGTTAAACTTTTTTTTTTTTTTTTCCTTACCCAGCCTGGTCGGTTGAACTGTCAAGGCGGTGCAGAGGGCAAGTGAAGCCTGTTGACTGATGAATAGCTGCTCAACTCGACTGAGTGAAAAACAATCTTTTCTGGACGATGAGTTTGAATGATCTTGATGAACGTTGAGCGGTTCTGAAGTTTCCCCAAAGAAGCAGCTGCCTCATGGGTTTGTGCCTACCCAGATTGCTCCTGCAAGGTGTTGCCTGAAATAATGGATTCCAGGAGCTGACATTTTCCTGTTTACTCACTTGAAACCACTGCTGTTTGGGTGGACCTTTGAAAGCCAATGACCCTGCAGCTCGTCGGCCGGTAGCCGACGATGCAGGCACGGCTTCTCGAAGGCGTCTTAAACACTAAATCTGTTCATACAAAGCTTGTAAACAGAACTGGGCTGACCTTGCGGTTGAAGTGCACTTGGGCTCATTTTTCCCAAAAGCATTTTAACAGCAAGTTCTTCCTGCTCTTAGACTGCAACTGTGATCTTTCAGCTGAGTTGCTTTCGGTAAAGAGACCAGTTTGACGAGAACGAACCTCCAACCCTCAGTTGATTGCTGGCTTCAATGGTACACGCATTCATATTGCATTTTGTTCTTTGAAAACTGAGCCAGCTGGATCACTAGGTCTTAACCTCACATGCACAACATATTTCTGCCCTTTTTTTTTTTCTTTTTTTTTTTATTAGTCCTTGCTTTTTCAGCTCCATGGTCACTTTTTTTTGTTTTTTATTTCACTGACGCGGTACACGACATGGACTGAGAGCGACACAGTTTTTGCACTTTTTATTTTGATAACTTTTTTTTGTTGTAATTGTTGTTAGGAAGAGCATTTTTATACAATCACATTTTTTTTTTTTTACAAGTTTTTAATGACATACCAAGTGATTTGGTTTTAAAATAAAGTATTTCAGTTTTAAATTCACTTGAAAGTGTGTGTGTGTGTATTACACACATGCCAGTAAACGGGACAAACTGAGGGTTTGGAGGTGGATTTAAAAGTGCCTTTTTATGAGGGATATATGTAGAATGCAATAATAACCTGTTGATGAATGTCAAGCTGGCTACAAACAAGACTTGAGATGGGTTTTACTGGTGGAATTGACTTTTGTACTTTTGAGTCCAGTTTAAAAGTAATTCCAATAGCACTACACTCTCACTACCTGGTATAAGCTTTTAGAATGATTATCATAGAAGTATATAACCAGTTATATCTTAACTATGGAAAATAAATCCTTGTACTGTTGTACTGTAACCCTCATCGGTTTACATTGCTTTCTTGATCTAGAGTTGTATCCTTAAAACTGTGACCTGGAATGCAAGTATTTACCCCCCCGCCCAAAAAAAAAATGTATATAAAAATCTCCATTGTGAAAGCCATCTGCCAATATTTGGATTTTTTTATATATTTTTTTTTTTTGGCACATAATGTCTTATTTATTTTATTTAAATATGTTTTCTTATTTATTGTGTAAAATGTTTGGGTCTTGACACGAGGAAATGTTCAAATCCAATCACCAATTTTTGGTATATGATGTACGTTGGGGGGAAAATGGGACAAAAATAAAGTTTAATGAAAATTTTAATTTGCTGTGCTCTGCATATCTCCCCCCCCCCCCCCCCCCCCAAAAAAAAAAAAAAAAATCATGTCATTCACATCACATGTGGCCCATGAGGTGGAATGAAATTGTGTACAAAGGGTCTCGGTTACGTCTAAAAATAGCAAAAGTATAAATTGTAAAATAAACAGTAATAAAGATGTAAACTAAGAAATGCACTAAACACGAATAGTGCAAAAACAATACGCCAAACAACAGCAGAACATGAGTCTGAGCAGATGAGTATGAATGAAAACAGCAGCATGAAATCGGCATGAGATGAGCAGCATGGATAATCGGCAGCACATATCACCAAACAAAGTGGCATTACAGTGATTTTTATTTTTTTCTCATTGTAATCCTCAGTCTAGTGGTTCTGCACTTAATGCTCCTTAACCTCCTGCCTGAGCGGAGTGGGGCAAAAAGTGTGCGTGCAGGATGAGGGGGGTCCTTCATGATGCAGGTGGCCCTCTTCCTGCATCTGGTGGTGTAGATGTCTGTGATGGTGGGGAGGCTGACCTTCACTACTCTGCAAAGCTTTTCTTTCTGCAGCTGTGCAGCCTCCATGCCACACGTTGATGCTGGAGCACAGGATGCTCTCCACTGCACACCTGTAGAAGGAGGTGAGGACTGAGCTTCCCAGACCAGCTCGCCTCAGCCGCCTGAGGAAGTGGAGTCTCTGATGAGCTTTCTTGATCAGGAAAGATATACAATTTTATATTGTATATTTCAACATGTAGCAATGCATTTTATTGTTTATATGAAATGTTGGCTGCTTGTGTCATGACTCCTAGATAGAATTGGGTTCAGAATATATATATAT